ACTGCTAGGGGAGTAGTTTTCTTATACATATTTTACCTTGGGCAATGATATAGGATTATTCGTTTAATTCATCACCATTACGCCTTCTCTAGATAATTGAAGCCTTTCTTAGTAAGCCATTTCTGCCTTTCTTTTACTCTTCATATTATTTAAATGAAGCAACAATGAATTTAACAGAAAGATAGATAATCGAATGAAAAACAAAATAAAAGAAGAAATCCTACCTCAGGTAGGTGATGTATTCACTTCTAAAACATCCACACTCAGTCTTAATTTATGTAATGGGATGACAAATTGGTACTGCTACAAGCATGGGTGTCTCATAGAGAGCTTTAGTAAGCCACAATCAGGAAAAAATGGGCAGAGTTTCAACTCTTCAAAGTCGTACCTGTTGGTGCTAGGGTTATCAGAACTCCCAATTAATAAGCAAACAGATATAAATTGTGAATAAACAAGGAAAAGGAAATGGCATGAACAAGGGAAATGAAATGAAATAGAAAGAAAATTATACAAATGAGAAGAAAACTACCATGGCAGCTCGTTTCAGACCCGGAGCAATTCTTGGCAGAAGATGATGAGTGGCCGTCCATGAGGAGTTCCTTTGAGAACAAGACGATGCAACCCTTCATCCACCGAGTCTGTCTATGAGAGCTTATTTGCAACGGCAACGAGGTATTGTCTCGTTTGTTGGCCGAAGGGTTATAGAAGGGAAGATGAGAGAAGATTTCCGGAGAGCAAATGATGATAGAAGATGGGCGATGTTGAGATGTCGAGTGAGGGGAGAAAACGAGAGGCTTCTTTTAATCACGTCCAGCAAACGGAGGTACCAAACGGAGGCTGTAAACAAGGCTAATAATCAGAGACGGCAATAACGGAAATGGAACAACTAACTTTCTTAGGCACTTAATATATATAGTAAGATAAGATAATGGAACATGTTCAGAGTGTGCATTTAATCAAAAGAGGATTACCAACTATGCTATCATGAACCCTGCTCATAATTTTTCTAATTGATACATATGCGGAGAGCTGATTTCAAATAATACTATAATATGATTCTATACTACATGCCTTTCATACCAGCTTTTTCTATGTCTTGAGAAAAAACACGGCTTCGTTCAACAACTGAAAGATCATTCTTGTTCAAGAACTTCAGAATGCATCATTCTTTTCATGTTAATAAAATTGAACAGGTGCACAATGACTAGAGAATGTAAAACATAAAACCATAAGTATAACGAAAAGATCAAAATACAACCAGTAGTGCATACAAAAATTTGAACAATGACACACAATCATGACTTACTATGACTTAAATTTGAGCAACAGAAACCAATAATTTGGCAGCCAGTAAACCCAAGATAGAAGAGACAACTATAGCGACAACACCTTCGGAGGTATGCAGTTCATGTACTCCCCATTTGATAGCAGTTGTATGTATAGCTATATTGTAAGTCATTTGGCGAATCATATTTTATCTTAATTAATATATATGTCGATTTTCCTTCCAAAAAAAAACTTGTATGTATAGCCGTTGTTAATCCGGAAAACAAAAACACTTAAAGGCTATGGTAACACTTAAAATGACGAGCGGCAAAGCATCTTTTATCATTGGTGTCTCTTGCCAATATGGAGTCACAACTTGTCAAACCAAATAAACCTGATGACCATCAAACACGTGTCTCTACTATTGCAAAAATAAACACACATTTAATATATACTTGAATGGACTGGTTTGTTGTACTTTTGAGGCTAGGTTTTCATCTTCTAAATTGATTATTGATGATGAGTGAGCATCTAATCTTATCTAAAGAGTTAACATACCACCACATTCACCCTACGCAAAATTGAGGAGAATTGCAAATGAAAAGTTTAGCGCCACTAGAAAGGAAAAACTACCTCCTTCATTGGTTGAACCCAGGCAACGCCGCCGAGCAAAGGAATCCCGTTGTCTGGTCGCCGGTAATTTCAAGAGGAGACAACTATGACGGGAAGTCGAAACACCTCTGGGTTAGTCTAACTTGAGCGCCATTAGCAAATTGGAAGGGAAAATACAACGTCCTTTCTCCCTGCGTTCGTCTTCGAGACGTTGACCCGATGGTTTTTACACCCAACGCTCTCTCTCTCTCTCTTTGCATATCCTTCTAAACCTATTATAGTATGTGCTCCAATTAATGCCAACATCCTTACTGGAATGGGAACTCGAACCCGTGACCTCGTCTTTGGGAGATAACGGTGATGCCATCAGACCACAAGATACTTGGCTACACCCAACGCTCTCTTTGTTTCATTTTGCGTTCGGAGACGTTTACCGTTCTATGTTTAATTTCACCGTTCAATTCTTCTGTCAAAGAATAGAGCTTCACGACAGGGATTGATATGCAAAATAAATGGGTTTCATATAGGTGAGTAAAGAATGCATACGTGACATTTTAATTGATCTAGCGAAGCAAAGGTACTGTATTCTGTTTTAGACAATTTACATTTGATTTACATTTGACATACTGCGAGTTACACCACAAAACAAAGCGAGTTACACAACAAAATAAACCTCTATTATTCAATCAAAAATGTTTTTCTTATTAAAAATCATTTTTAATGGACCTAATATTAAAAACAAAATATATGCGCTATTTATGTAAAAAAAATGGATAATTAGACTTCTTTTTTCCATTAAACATGAGTTACATTTCAGGGCACAAGTTACATTTGTTGTTAACTGATGTTACATTTGTAGCAACGCGAGTTACATTTAATTATGCATAAGTTACATCATTCATGCTACTGGGATGAAAATAAATAAAAAAACAGTAGTTTACACGAGTGCACTGTTCACGCGCGTACTGTTCACACGTTTTTTTAATTGATTAAAACTGCATCATTTTGGGTGTGGAGCATGATGCTCACCGTGGTATATACGAACTGAACTATTCTCTTAGCACAAATTCAATTAAACAAAAGACCAACTTGCAGTCAAAATAAAAAATTGACAAAAAATAATTTTATAAGATTTTTTTTTTGCAATATCAAAAAAAAATCTTGTAATATTATTTTACAAAAAGCAACAAAGCATTCCAGCCCAGCTGGTTGTGAGGTTACCATGCATAGCGAGAGGCCTCGAGTTTGAAACTCGCCAGACACATAAGGGCTCGAAACTCAATGAAGTGAGTAGTTTCAGCCCTGATTACTTCAGGCCCCTAGCCCCCCCTGACCCCCTGGAGTAAAAAATATATATATTTTACAAAAAGCAAGTAATTTTATTGTAAGGAAGCATTAAACATCACTCAGCTTATAAACTGAATTTCAAGGAGCAAAAGAAATAAAGATATTGCATCTTTACCTTGGCATTAAAATGAGGAAACAAGTTGAGTTGAGAATTTGGTTCGTGTCACAAAAAGACAAAGAACAAACCATGTTGTCTCAGTCAAGTGGAACAAAGTAAGTAGATCAAGCAACGATCAAGATTGAGCTCCTCAGCCAACGTTGGAGATTCAACAACAAGTCTATAGATAAAGAAAAAGTGCGGGAAGAAACAAGTGGAAGAGCCAAGTGGAATAGAAGGGAATCAAGATTGACACAAAGACATCAGCCAACTGATTCCCCTTCACCACTTCGATTCTCACCTCACTCATCTAATGATTTTCGAATAGTTATAATTCATACAAACTATAGAGCTTCGATTAGTTGGTAGTTTAGTTTTCACTTTTCACCCATGTAAACTAGACTAGTGTTGGTCATTCTGGAGGGCTTTGTGTTCAAATCTAGAAGGTGAGAAGGACAAGGACATGAGTAGCTTCTGGCAAGTCAATGCCATTAGTGAAAAACCTTAGAGGACTGAGCAGTTTGAAATGGTATTCAAATCCCTTGGGAAAAACCTCACAATCTACGCCTGGGCCAAGGGTAGATTGGACACTAAATGTTATGGGACATTCATTTAGGGGAAATTTATCTGAAAGAGGTTGAGACTGGATGTAGGAGGATTACACCACCTCTGAACCAGGATATATCTTGTGTCACCTTTTATATTCAGCTCCCAATATACACTACAATTCCCACTCACCTTCACAACTTCACAACAAAACAGTCTGCTCACAAAAACTGTCAAGTGAACCTCTCAGTTCATTGTGAGTCAACTTCCTGTTTCCGTTCATCAAAGTGATCTATTTTTATAGGTCTAAATTCTTCATACTCATGTGTCAAGACTTGTTCTAAACCCTATCAATGTGTTATAGTGTAGTTCATTGCTACACCTTAACCATTGAAACAATAAACTCATTTCAGCAGCATGCTCTTAAAGGACTTGGCAGTCAGCTCCCAGTAATCTGGCAGCCAGCTCCTTCAGGGTTTGGCAGGCTGCTCCTTCAGTCATCTTATTCTGGCAAACATATTTGAACCATGTTTCATCCACCTCCTCACAACTAAAAGAGTCATAACCTTTGTTGCTATAAAGTGTCACACTTTTGAGGTCAAGACTTCCGCTGTAGGTTTCAATATCTTTTAAAAGATATTGAAACTCATTCTGTTAGAGGAAAAAGTGTTGAAAAATGAAAAGATTTGAAAGTCTAGTCACCCTCCATCAAAAGGTAATTATCACATTTTGATCTTTTTATTGATTTTTAGGGTTGTCCATAACTATGACTTTGATGAATTTTAAAAGATGGGTGTCTACAAGATTGTGGATTTTGAAATCCGACGGGTGTCTACAAGATTGTGATGGAATGCTTTTGTACGTAGAAATTCACCAAAATTCATTAACATCCATACAAATAATTAATACCGAGTAATAAACATACACGGATTATTTGAGAACACCATATTTTCATAGATTCTACAAAAATTCACCTAAATTCCTACTGAATTCCTACTGAATTTTAGGAGGTGTTTGAATCTGATTCTAAAAATTGCTTCTGCTCCTTCAGGGAGCAGAAAAAAAAATGGAATGTTTGGGTGAAAATTTTAACATTATTCTAGTACTCATATTTTTGTTACACCCCTTAAATAGAAGTGTGAAAACTATTATCGCGCATCAGATTTCTGTGCCGCTTCGTCGATCTTATCATCTTCGTCGCTTGTAGGTCGGTCTGACTCGGCCATGGCAGCTCTGCAGTACCTGGACTTGCTCTGCAATGGCCACCCCGAACTCTCCGACTGGTCAACTACCCTCGCTGATCTGTACCAGCGGAAGCTCTGGCACCAACTCACTCTCAAGCTGGAGGAATTCGTTTCGCTCTCCATATTTCAGGTCCTTACATATTTCGTTTTATTTTGCACATGTTATCAGATCATTGTTTCTCAATCTCTTCAATGTATTTGTTGATTTGTGAAATTGGCTAGTGAAACTTGTAGTTTTTAATATGCTATCGATTTTTTATAAGGCAATTGAGCATCTACGGTTAAATTATGCCTGCATTAAGATTTTTAGGAGTGGTAGTGCTATAAGTTTGAGAACATTTGAATTAACGGAGTGAGTGTTGAAGTAAGAGTAGAGATTGATTTTGTGGAAGGGAGAGTCTTTAACTTGTAACAGATTATGAATTTCTGTAAATGAATATTTGTTACTTCGTTTTGCTCCCTAGAGGGCTTACCTAGATATAGTGGAATGTACTGGGAAATTTATTTGGGTGTTCCTATTTAAATCCCAGTGAATTATAGAATTCTTTTATCCCACAGTTTGAAGATTTAGTGGAGATAATGCTATTATACTTCCCTTTGTGGCCCACTTCATTCTTACGATGTCATGTACCACACCATCTTTCATACTATATGATAGTTCTTTTCTGGGTTTGCAGTTGATATCACAGTCCTCGATAAACATTTATGCGAGGCATGTTAACAATAAATTTGTATCAATACATTTCCATGTGCTCTAGTAGTAGGCAAACAAATAAAAGAGTTCATTATGACTTTATGAGGTGGAATATGACTCTTTTTAAAGAGAATCATAGACAAACCATCCGCATACTTGTCTTTCTTTCGTTAGTTAATGTGTTGTGGCTGCTACGGAAAATTAGAGCTAATATCATGTGATTCTATATAACATAAGCTATTGTACTCATCCTCATGTTCTTAGTTAGAAGTATCTTTCTAATTCTAATACTTAAGTATGCTACTTTTATCTCTTTCAGGCTGGTGATGCATTGATACAATTGTATCATAATTTCATCACTGATTTTGAGACAAAAATTAACCTTCTCAAACTTGCACATTTTGCTGTCATTGTTTCTCGACGGTACTCTGAGAAAGAAGCTGCTATTACTTACCTTGAAGGTGTTATTGAGAAACTGCGTAATGCTAAAGAAATGCGCATTGATGAACCAATCCTTTATATTAAGATGCAAACTGCATTGCTTAAACTCGAACATAGAGATCAAAAAGGGTGCAAAAACCTTTTGGAAGAGGGAAACCGTACACTTGATAGCATGACTGATATTGATCCATCTGTGCATGCGAGCTATTATTGGGTTTCCTCTCAGTATCATAAGTTCCGGCAAGAATTCTCTGAGTTCTATAAGAGTGCTCTCCTCTATCTCGCTTACACTTCAGTAGAGTCTCTATCTGAAGCATTTAAGTTGGTGAGCCATTTGTTCTATCATCTTTTTATTATGATTTATGTGTCGATCATAGTGTCTATTTAAGTGGTGGAGTAAGAGAATTGGGCGATGGTGGTGATTGTGATATTAATGGTAGACACTGATTTTAGAATGTTATGATATTTTCACAAGCTATTCAAAACCTGTAGCATCTTGCCTTATTAGGACATATACTTCACAGTTGTTGGTTCGTTCATATACCCTTTCATTAGTTTAGGAAAGGATCGATAGTTTTGTTGGTTGGCTGATAAGTAGTGATGTGCAAAGTCAAAGGACATGAATATGCATGCTCCTGAAATAAGCGTATATCAAATGGTAATGTTACTATGACTTCAGTTTTCTGGTGCAAGCGTGCAACATTTTTTATATCACTGTTATTTTTCATTTATTAGTCTCTAAAAAGCACTAGAAGTGCAATGGGACGTATTGAGAATAATGAATTTCACTCTTTGGATGATGAGTAATGATGTGCAAAGTCCTATGACATGAATTCGTGCGCTTCTGCAGTAAGAGGACATCAAAAGGTATTGTATTAGACTATCAGTCATATATAAATTTTGGAGTTTTAAGTTACAGGATTAGGATAGGTCGATGCTACCAAGCGAACGGTCATACTTACAGTTCAGCTTATATGCTAGAGTTAATTAAACTTTTAATCTCAAGTATCTTTGTAGTGTCACTTTTTATTCAAGGGAGAATTTGACTTTGCCCCCCATTTTTCTGGGTGATATTTGACATTGCACCCTATTTTCAAAATCATTAATGCATGCACCCCAATTCACTATAAATCATTTGAGTTTGCACTCCGCTCCTTCACAATTTTTGGGCTAATGGAGTTACACATTAATGATTTTAAATCCATAGGGAGAATAAGACTTTGCACCACAGGTTTTTGGTGATATTAGACTTTGCACCCCATTTTCATAATTATTAATGTGTGCACCCCATCAACCCAAAAATTATGAAGGAGTGGGATGCAAAGTCAAATGATTTTATATTTTTATAGTGAATTGGGGTGCATACATTAATGATTTTGAAAATAGGGCACCAAGTCAAATATCACCCAAAAAAATGGGGTGCAAAGTTCATTATCGCCCAAAACAAGGGGTGCAAAGTCAAATTCTCCCATTGAATTCCCTTATTCAAGCACAAGTGGTGGTAATTTTATGGTTTTATGTTGTTTCATGTATTCAGAGATAAGAGGATTGTCAGCATATTTGGCGTAACTATTTTACTATTTGTAAAATTCTTTTTAGAAACTCAATTTTTTTCTAAGTTAAGTTTGTTGCAACTCCAAAGACAGAAAAGCATAATCCATCTTTAATCCCAACACTGTTATTGAACCCTCCAACATTAATTATAAGGAATCTTTTGTGTGCTTGCAAGGGAAGATGCATGCATATGCATATTAGATTAATTTTGCACACTAAATAATGATTCTGTGTACAGAACTGTGGTGATTGCATTGAATTTAAAGTTCGCATACTAAATAATGATTCTGTGTACAGAACTGTGGTGATTGCATTAAATTTTATTAGAGAATACTTAACAATTCAATATGTGTTTGAAGACAATGAAGAATTATCATGTAGGCTTTAATTTTAAACCATTGACCTAGCGTGATGGTTAATATAACTCTTATCTAATACGGGAATTTGATGCCTTGTTCTTGCTTGAGTGAGATTTAAATCATCATGATCTCTTTGGTGAGCCTGTATACTGTTCTGCTTCTTTATGTTCTTATCAAATGCAGACTCATTTTGATACAAGCTGTAAATCCTCCTACAGATACATGATCTGAATGACAGATTATGTAAGTTTATTATTGCTCATATGCTATATGTTACTAAGCTAAGAATTTCTCTTTACATTACATTAGGACTTGGCATTTGACCTTTCGCTATCAGCATTGCTAGGAGAAAATATTTACAATTTCGGAGAGTTACTCGCACATCCGATTGTAAGTTTAATTTTGCATGTTCTGTTTATTGTTTTCACGTGCCCTCCCAAGCACATCTGTACTGAGGACTATTGATTCATAAATCCATCATGTGACAAAGTTTCCTTGCAAAGTTCTAGGACTCCTGATGATTTGCATTATTTTTTCCACGTTAACTAATTCAAAGAATTCAATCTCTCAATAATTTGTAAAAGAATCAAGTGGGAAAACTGTCTATTAAGTCTCTGTGCTATACTCAAAAAGTCAATTGAGTCCTCGTACTATTAAATCAACCAATTAAACCCCCCTCATGCTATAGAAAAACATTCAATCCAACTTTTTAGCCGGTTGAGTTTAATTAAACCGGTAGCACTCCCGTGGCTAGCCACGTGTCATAAATCACATTGCCACCCGGTCAACGATATCATTTTTTCTCTCCCCCCCTCTTTTCGTCCATATTTTCCAACCCTTTCTCGTACATCTCTGCATTTCTCCTCTTTCATTCATTTTTTCTCCTTTTCATTTTTCTCATACAAAACAAACATTCACTTTTAATTCCATTCACAAAAATTGACTAGTAATATGCTGCATAAATTTTAGATAGAAATCAGACCCACTGGATTTCGTCTGCCATCAGTCCGGTAGGTGTCTGCCAGAGAGACGGAGTAATAATTATAAACTCTTAAAGTATTCAAATATATTGAAATATGGTATGGTCTAAGCCCGTCTAAACATAACCTTCCCCTCCAAACCCCTCTATCCAGACAGAACCATAAAATCTGTTTAGAGTTTTGAAGAATTACTCGATGGATAAGATGAAAAATGTTTTCATGGTGCTGTTAATTGGCAGAACTATTTAAATCTATTCATTAAAACTGAATTCTTTAAGTTTGTTTCAAAGATCAGGAGTCTCCTAGGGACAAAGGTTGAGTGGCTCTACCATATTCTTGAAGCATTCAATGCTGGAGATTTGGTTCGCTATCAATCGTTGTGCAATGTCCATAAAGATGCACTGAATGCTCAACCTGCACTGGTGCAAAATGAGAAAAAGCTCTCAGAAAAGATCAACATTCTCTGTTTGATGGAAATCATCTTCAGGTATGATAATAGCCCCCCCCCCCCCCCCCCCCCCGTGTGCAAAGTAAAATGTTCTGGACCAGTATTTATTGCCATTTGATCATATAAATATGTTGTTCCCCTGCAGTCGCCCATCTGAGGATAGAACTATTCCGCTGAATATCATTGCGGAGCGCACGAAATTGACAGTTGAAGATGTGGAGTACCTTCTTATGAAGAGTCTTTCTGTAAGTTCATACTCTACCATTCTAAGAACATGTTTTAGTATAAGGGTCTGTTAGGATGCAGGGTTTCGGAGAGAATCTGCGAAGGCTTAGTCTATAAGCAAGCATGTTATATTGTCCATTAAGTTGGTTTTTGGCAAAATACTGGCTGATGTTCAATAGATTAGAAAAGGGTATTACATGCTCCGTAATAGTGGTATAATGGTGGGGCATGGCAGGTGCATTTGATAGAGGGAATAATCGATCAAGTTGAGGGAAGCGTATATGTTTCATGGGTGCAACCAAGGGTTCTAGGTATTCCCCAAGTCCAGTCGTTGAGAGACCGTCTGGACAGCTGGGTCGACAAAGTACACACTGCTTTGTTATCTGTGGAGGCTGAAACTCCTGACCTTGTTGCAGCATAATAGAGACTATTTCTTCTCATTAGCATGTGTTTTTGTTTTCTTGATGGTACTTTTATGGATTGATTGCCCCCCCCCCCCTCTTGCTTTGCGGCAGTGAGTTTAAGTTTCAGAACAAACTTTAAAGGTGAAATTTGTTTATTTCGTCATCGTATTTGCAAATGTCTGCAAACTTGTTTTGAATCCCTCCCCAATTAAAACTATTACCTTAGTGCTGCATTTTAACCCCATACCATACTCTCTATTCAAGGATTCATCTTTATTATCTCTCTATTTGAACCGTGCTCCTGAATTTACTTGTTGGGTTCTAAATAGATTTTTAGGCAGGTCGGTTGGTAAATTTAAGCTGCCTCCAAGTCCTCCACCCTAACCAACCCCTCACAAAAGTATGTTTGAGGTGAATTTGCAAACCTACCTTTCTTATTGCTTGACTACATCCATTTCTAAGTCTGGTATATTTGGCACTGCTAACTCGATGATGGATTACTTAAACCTTTTAGATGAAAGTCATGAAACAGTAAGGGGGTGTTTGGTTGAGAGCTTATCAGCCATTTTTTGGCTGATTTGACTAGGTTTAGCCTTTTGACCAGATCAATCGGCTAATAAAAGTGTTTGGGAAATAGCTTTTCCAATTGGCCTTTTTTCCCAAACAGCCAAAATATTAAATGCCATCTAGCCTAGCGTTTATCATGGGCTGTTCCATATCTTCCCTATCCTGCCCATGCCTTTTCTGTATCTATTCCTAGTTACAGAAATAATTTCCATCGAAGTGTTTGGCCTTTTGACCAGATCAATCGGCTAATAAAAGTGTTTGGGATATACCCTTTTCCAATTGGCCTTTTTTCCCAAACAGCCAAAATATTAAACGCCATCTAGCCTAGCGTTTATCATCGGCTGTTCCATATCTTCCCTATCCTGCCCATGCCTTTTCTGTATCTATTCCTAGTTACAGAAATAATTTCCATCGAAATAAAATCTTGGGAACCTAAATCTACTTCCAGGTTCACCAAAGAGCAAAAAAAAGCAAGTAGATCATCTTGCGAACCTAAAACCTTCTCCGATAGTTAAAAACAAAGCAAAAACGTATCTGATTCTGATCTCCTCGGAATTTTTACCAATACACTTCTTCTTTCACCTGAATTTCTATTTGTACTCTCTGCTTCTTGGATTTTTGTATATTAATGAAATTGTTTGATAAGGAGTCCTTGATTTTGCTAGTGTGTAGGGTTGGACTCGGGCCGGGTGGCCCGAACCGGAACCGGCCCGGTCACTGTTTGAACTGGCCCGGCCCGGCGGCCCGGCCCATGGGCGGTTCGGGTCGACCCGCCCGGTGGCTACCGGTTCCGGGTTCGGGCCTTCATTTTGGTGAACCGGCCCGGCCGGTTCGGGCCCGGTCCGGGCCGAATTTAATTTTTTTTTTTTGATTTTTTTTTTAAGTTTTTGGGTTGGATTGAGTATTTTGGGCCATTTGAGGTGGTTTGGGGTTGAGGGGGAGGGTAGGGGGTTGATTAGGAAAATAAAAAAAAAAAATTATATAGAACCGAACCAGGCCCGGCCCGAACCGGATCCGGGGTTACCCGGGCCGGTTCCGGGCCTCCCCTACCTTGAACAGTTGAACCGAGGCCCGGCCGGTTCAAGGCCCGAACCGGGCCCGGCCCAGAACCGGTCCACCCCTACTAGTGTGTTCTATGGTTGAAGAAAGGTGTGGGTGCAGGGCCGATCCTAACATTTTTTTGGCCCAAGTCGATTTTTTGTAAAAGGCCTTTGAGTAATGTAAAATATGGATCTTAAGATTCATAAGCACTAATTTAATTTACATTTTTACATCAAATAATTAAAAACCACACAATGCATGATATTATTTTGATTGACATTATTTGTATTCCTGCTATTTTACTATAAAATACAAAAATTGTATATATAAAATACAAAATTATTTATGGGCCCGTATTTTTTAATAGAATTTTGGGGCCTGAGGCAATTGCCTCTTTGCCTCAACAAGAGGTTCGGCCTTGTGTGGGTGGGATAGACTGGGGCTGGAAATGTGCAGAGATGGATAGAAAGCAGTTCCCATTGGGGTAGCACTCTCTCGTGTTATTCGGTCAATAATCATCTCATAAAAAAGAAATGGATTATTAATTGAAGAAATAGAGATTTACCAATTAAATTAATAAAAAAATAATTGATGTCCGTTCATGTCATTTAACAAGTTATCAGCTGAATGTAAACAACCATTTAACCAAACATCATTTTAAGAACGGCTAATAATTTCGGCCAGTCAAAACAGTCAACCGAATCCGCTATCATCAATTAGCTAAAACAATTAGCCAACAGCCGATTGCCAAATACCCCCTAAATGTATAAGAACACCCAAAATACTAAGGAATCCTTGGTTCCTTCTTTAGTTGCCATGAGTGTGTAGGAAACGTGGGCGGACATCTAGGCATTGACTCGGTTCGGGTTGACCAGCCCTGCCCGCTACTGTGCAGGCCTGGCCCGGCCCTGGAAACCGGTTCCGGTACCGGGCTTAGGCCCGGCCTGAGGGGGCTTAGGCCCGGCCGGTTCAGGCCTCTTTTTTTTTGTTTTTTTTTTGGGTTTGGGCTGGGCTGGGTGTTTTTGAGGGGTTTGGGGGGTGGGGGTTGAAAAAATAAGAAAACACAAAAATAAACCGGAACCGGTAGACTCCTTGGCTGGTCCCGGGCGTTGCCCAAAACCATCCAAGCCTGGCCTGGCCTGAACCGGAACTGGACCCGATCCACCCCTACAGATATCTCATAATGTTAGGCTTAGATGCCATCAGGTTGTCCCATCTCCGCCTGGTCCGACAATCTCCCTAGCATAGTCTGGTTTAGGGGTGGATTGGGTTGGGTCTGGGCAGGCTTTAGCTCCAAAAACATCAGGCCCGGTACTAGCTCGGGTTTGTATCAGGACCGGGTCGGGCCTTTATTATTATTATTATTATTACTATTATTATTTTTATTTTGTCTTTTCGAATTAATTCCATCCCCCTACGGCCCTACCCCCACCCAGCAGCCAGCCCAATGGGGAAAAAAATTAATTGGGCCCGGACCGGGCCGGTCTACCAAAACAAGAGCCTGATGCCCGCCTATTTCTTCTACCGGGTTGGGTCCTGGGCCTAGTCCCAGTCAACCGGGCTAGGCCGGGCCTGCACAGTGGCGGACCGGGTAGACCCGTCCCAGTCCATCCCTAGTCCGGTTACAAAGAAAATAGACCAAACTCTCCAGACCTGAATCCCATCTAGTCGGGGCCTGGGGTCTTCTGCGATGGAAATCTTGCCACATTTTGGCGAAAAGTCAAACAAACCTTCAAGCTGACAAGGAGAGCGAAAAGTCAAACAAACCTTCAAGCTAACAAGGAGAGACTTCAGGTGGGGGCCAACCAAGTGACGGAACAGAGAAGGCTCATTGTGTTGGTCACCTACGAAGCCACCATCTAATCTCCCTCCAATGGGGGGTGTCAACCCCAACCTCCCTCTGTTAAATAGAAACAGTGCTATTAATAGCAACAAGAAAACAACAATATTATCCGAGTGTTACAACGGCTCCCACCTATGGTGAGGTAAGAGAGGGTTGAATAAACACAACTTTACCTTTGACCTAAAGCACATAAAGACTGTTTCCGTATTATACATGTGGAAAATCACATCGAAAATTGCACGAATTATGCTTTATAATAAAAAAGCGTCAACAGTTTAGTGAACCATTTTGCTTTATTTTATTATAGTACCAAATAAAAAACAGTAAGTCATTGGGGTCATTGGATATGATGGAAAAAGTGTTATTAATAGCAATAATAATAGAAGATAAATTCATTAAAAAGACTTATAAACACTTTTATTGTACACATGCCTGTGAAGGCATTTTTTAAACCGTAAAAGTGCACATCAAGAATTGTTGAAATTCATTTGGACCCAACACCAAATTCATTTGGAGCCAACACCAACGAAGTTGATTGTGATGGATTCGGATTTACCCTCCTAGAGGCTTTGGAGGGTAGTTTATAGACTTGGAGAATGTAAATCCGACACCAAGATTACAAAAAACAGCTAGCTTAATACCAACTTTATTTCTAGCCTTCAACAATGCACTCTATAAGCAAAGGCAGAGGGGAAATAAAACCATTTTCCTCTCCATCGAATGTCGAAATATAGTCGGTCATCAATCGAACGAAAATAGCCCGCTGGGGGAAATCTTAACAGCAACCAGCAGTTGATGGGGAGCTGCAAAGATTGCGTGTGTTCTTTTCTTGTGATGTTTTTGAGGCAGTCTTGTTCTTAGAGTAGCAAGAATTCCACTCCCCGCCACTCTGGGAATAATAATCCATTGGGTAATAATCTTCTTCTTCTTCTTTCCTGTTGCATGCGCAAAATTGTGGGGAACCAGACTTTCTTCTCTCCCACCAACCAGCAAGATCCCCCAAAGCAATCTCGGCTTCAAAAGCAGTCAGAAGCGGCTTCCCAAACGCATCGCCCCAATCAATGGACAACCTGGGGCAGGCTATCTGCACCCAAGCTTCCACGGAATCATCAAACAAACCTATTCTAGCAGGAGAGATTTCTGACATCATTATCACCGTCCAACTCATCCCTTTCTCCTCCATCTTCTTCTCCAACCGATCCAATATCCTGGGGTTTCCCTGCCTCCCCAACGTCCCCAAGACTATTCCCCAATTCCTTGCCCCCTTGGCCTTCTCTATTGCTTTTCTCCTCTCATCCTTCATCCCCTCTTCATCATACTCCTCAACAAACAGCTTCCCTATGTATGGATCGTACCTGTATGCCTTTATCATTGGATTTGCTATCATAAATGCCTCCAGATGAAACCTCCCATCCGCAACGAAGACCAAAACTGCACTTTCCGGACTGCAAATCTTCCTACTTACAGTTGGAGCGGTGCACCCGAGGACTTCTCCCGCTGATAGGGGCTTGGATTGTGGTATCAAAACCCTAAACCCTAGCTTTTCAAGCTCCGGTTTAACGGCTCGAATTGCATTAGAGAACTGGATTGTACCGGCCATAATGAAATTTTCATACTGCTCCGGAGAGAAATTGTTTTTTAATTCGTCCAGAAGTTTGCGTACATCGATGGCGATCTCAACGAAGACGTAGAGACAGGGGATTGTGGTGACATCAATGGGAACGAGGCAGCTGTGGCCATAGTGAATCAGGAGGTCGGCGGAGAGCGCGCCGGCTGATAGGTCGTCCACGCAGCAGGCGCCGTAGGTGACGTCGCCGAGAACAAAGCAGTCGGTGACGGAAGTGAAAGTGGAGATGATA